TTTGGAAATTGTTCTTGTGTTCATTGAGATATTGATTAAAATCTTACTTTTCAAAAAGGGTGTACTCATTTATGCTGAGCACTGTATGTCCTCTTTCACTCTCACTTTGAGATCACTTCTCACATAGAGACAGTCATCACCACTTTTCCTTTTTACCCTGTCTCTCTGAAAGAGAGAATTGTCGGGTATATTAATAGCCCAGTCATGTGAGGAATGAAGTCAAAGATTCATCAGTACCAATTAAATCATAATTCTCTTCATGCAACAAAGTTTCCAACTTGCCTATTTTGCTTGACAGGCTTCTGGCATCGGTGAACAAACACTTTAATACACTGTCACATTTTGCACACGTATTTTGCAGATTGGTTTATTTTAGTACAAATAGCACCATTTCCAATGGTTGTTTGTAACATGGGAACCTTCTTATCACCTGCCACCCTCCCCTAATCTCTCCCCTCCCCACCAATAGGGACAGACCCCTGTCTGCTCTCCCATTCCACCCACCTCACCCACCTCCAATAGTGGACAGACCCCTGTCTAGTGCTGCATTATAATCTAACTCCCCCTTCCACCACAGGCAATATATCAATATCACCCCCCAGGAAAGCAGAGCCTCCTCCTTATATTTAAGTGCCCAACCATCAAGTAATTTATAACATGCCAATAGGTTGTAGGCGATCCTGGTAACCCAAGCCCTCTTGATCCCCTAGGCACTACGCTCACCACCCCTACTAGGTGCTCCTAGCTGTTAGGGGTAGAAATTCGAATACCTTTTCCCTCTTATGTGCTGGCATCCAGGTCTTTAGCCAAGCTCTCCAAGCTTAACCCCTGCTCTTTGCTTTCCTGTGTTGCAGCTCTTGTTCTATGGACCTGGAAACTGACTCCGTTGCTATTCTCAATCCCGGCTTGTGACCTGTGTATTTTTGTCTACCATTCTGTACTGTCTGTCCCGCTGTTATCGACCCGGCCTGTCCGACTACGCTATCGTTCCTATCTGGTTCCTACCAGCTATACGCCATTGGCGGCGGGTATTAACGCAGCTGGGGTTGCTCGGGGGCCGCGACCTGAGGGACTTTGGTCTGTGGGTGGTGGTTGTCGTCTGTCAGTGCATGACCCTGCCATTAGGCCTGCCTGTCCATTCCACAGCTCCTGCCCTGACACCTCTGAGTTTGTCGCCCCCACATATTCACCCAACTTTGCAAGTCTGTTTGGGTGCTCAAACCCAGGGCTGGTCTTCCTTTTCTGTGAGCCCCTACTACTCCTGCTGACTACAGTAACCCATCTTCCTACCTGATAATCCTGACCTACCCCTCCACCCTCCACATCAACCCATTAACTACCTGTTCAGTGATCAGAAGACCTCTTTCAGGGTTGTCAGTTCTTCCCAGTATTGCAATTTGCTCCTCTAGATCTCTAATTTGAGCTTCCAAAAGAACAACTTGCTCATCTGTTGCAGCGTTATCCATCCTGGAGATGTTGCTCTATTGTTGTATGCATGCTATACACTGCACACTGCTCAAAACCTTCAACCTTGCTAGCACTCATTATCCCAGTTACAATATTAATATTACTAACAGGAACTTTCAGATGTTACTTACAGGTTAGAAGAGTCCTGTTATATTCTCCTGTTTTAATCTCTGTTTTTTAACTCCCACTTTCTCAAAGTTCCAGCAAGCAAAATGGGGACTACCTGTAGCACCTGTGACTAATTAACATACACACAGATAGGTTGAGCTGAATGGACCTGTGTCCTTATTCAACTCTACAAATAATGTAACTATTTAACTTGGCAGATTTGAGATCCAGTCATTGGACATTTGCTCATTAGTGGTTAGCACCTTGTAGGAGGAGACAGACTGTTGGTGTGTCTTGACACTAAAAGCACTTAGGCTTGGTTCACATCTGTGTGGGTGGTACAGCTGCGGAAGCCACACAAATACCTGCAGCCGCACCACCCACACAGAGGAATGCGAGACCCACAGGCTGGTGCCATTATTTCTAATGGCAAACCACCCGCACTGGAAATCACGACGGTACTGGGAACTTCGGCTGCGATTTCCCAAGTAGTACAGGGACTTCTTTCCTGCATGTCCTGGCGCACAGGAGTCCAATCAAATGAATGGGCTCTCATGCCCGCGCAAATCACGGCCTACACGGCTGCACATATGTGAACCTGGCCTTAGAGATATAAAAAACTGCATGGCAATTCAACACACTGTTATTGTCCTAAAACAGATAATACTTTTTTTAAATAGATTGGCTTTTGACTTTGTTTTCTTGACCCTTTAAAAGACACTGTCACCTTACCACATTGATTTTTCGGGTAAATGAGTTTCCTCCATCCACTGATATTCATTTGCCAGCACTTCCCCAATTTCTTTTGCCATCACTTCCCCATGGCTTATTCCTCCATCACTTCCCAATGGCTTATTTCTCCACCACAGCTGGCACCAAAATCTCCAGCTTCAGCCAGTGTCAGATGTGGGGACGTTACTCGTTTCTTTAAGCAACAGTGCTTGGTCTCATTGATTGGTTGCTAGACTGCAGTGTTGTTGCATGTAAGGGGGGGGGGGGTCAGGGGGGATCATTTGCTACCCCATTTCCAGAGGCACCAGGTATTTTTTTTCTGTTAACTGAGTCAACAGAAGGAGTGGTGGGAAGGAGTTGGCAAGGTGAACTAGGGAGGCACCTTTACACAGATACTTGCCTTGACTGGACAAGGAGACAGTGTCTCTTTATAGCTAATGTTTCATTAATATATTTACTGTCTTCTCTTCAATAGGAATTTAAATCTAATTGCAAGATTTATATTACATACATTACATTATCAATTTTGTTGAATCAATTTCTTTTACATGCAATAGGGTCACATTACTAAAGGCAAAAAGGCTGCTGACTTTGCAAGCAAATTTGCATTTTGCAAGGGAATTTTCCCCAGAGCTTAGTGAATATATGATGTTTCACTTTGCAAAGAATACCCAAATAATGTACAAGGAAAATACAAAAATGCAACATTTTTGCTGGCAGTTGATTGCATTATGTAAGTCAGCAGACCTTCATCTCATTCACTAAGCTCTTGGGCAAATTCCCCTGCAAAGTGCAACTTCCCTTGCAAAGTAAACAGTCTATTTGCCTTTAGTAAATCAGCTCAGATACGTGTATATTAATGTTTGCATTTTAATAAATCTGAATATTAACCTAGAACGTGGCCATCTAAATGTGTTAAGTTATTTGAAAGTGAACTATATAATTCCACTGCTGCACATTGCCATATGTGATTTTTTTTGTATTAAGGAATTCTGACATCATTAACTAACATTTCTATAATAATGCATAAAGCCTGTCAAATCTTCAATTTCCAATATTCTAATGAACATCAAAGTAGACCAACACTGCTGACATTGACAAATTGCAGAAGAGAGTTTATTCATTAAACACGGTACTAATGTTTATTTAAATGCAATTTACTGTTGCATTATTGATTAGCTAGTGCAAAATTATCTTGCAGGGAGCACATGTACCAAGTAGATTTTAAGTTCACAAATGATTTGTCTAGGGATGACATGTAGTCTTGTTGAAGCCTAGGGACATGAGAGTTTTAATTTGTCTGAAAACAAAGGGCTGAGTGAAAGGTTTGCTTTATTTGCATTTAAACAAAAGATGAAGAGGAATTGACAATGATCTATTTCTATTTTTCTTTTGCAGAATATATATAACCAGAGTATACCTTTGTTGTAAACTACTCTGATGCAGTGTAGATTTATAATCAATGTATTGCTTTACCTGAGTAAGTGTGAAGGCTGATGTGAATTTCTTAGTTGTAGTGGAAGAACAAGGCTGTGGCTTTGCTGGAAAAAAAATAGTGTCATGTATAATCCCTATTAATGGACTCCAAGGAAAAGCAAGCTTCTGGGTTGGGGTATAGCCGGGACCACTACCAGTGCCTACTATTCACTAAAACCTGGTGGAGGAAACTCCATGTTTAATAAACATGGTTGGATACTATCTGTGTGTAGACATTCTGATCTATTTATATTTGGAACTGTGTGTGTTCACAGACATAATTGTTTTAAAAAGTATACCACTTTGCTTGAGGTGATTGTAGCCGTATTAGTGCATTTGCAACAGAAACAATTGAGTACTGTCCATGATACTTTTTTTATTTGCACTAACATACAATTTTGAGGACAAGCTTTCGGAGTATGTCCCCTTCTTCAAAGTCCAAGCAGTACTATACTGTATATACTATATTTTCTGCTGAAACTTTGTGATTTGTATAGTACTGCTTGGACTTTGAAGAAGGGGACATACCCCGAAAGCTTGTCCTCAAAATTGTATGTTAGTGCAAATAAAAAAAGTATCATGGACAGTACTCAAAAAGTATGCCAAAAATTATGCTCTCAGTAGGAGATGCAAATATGAATCCACATGACAGGCTTAAAAACATTATATGATGTCAAACAATGAAGATATGTAAGGCACCAGAAAGTTTTATAACCACTCAACATGAACCAAAACAATGTAAACATTTTAGAGGAACAGGAAAGGTTTAACCACTTGCCCTCCAGAGGATTTTCCCCCCATCCTGACCAGGCCATTTTTTTGGAGCTGAGTTATTTTAATTGACAATTGTGTGGTCATGCAACGCTGCACCCAAATTAAATTTACATCTTTTTTTGCCGACAAATAGAGCTTTCTTTCAGTGGTATATGATCAACTGTGCGGTTTTTATTTTTTGCACTATAAACAAAAAGACTGACAATTTTGAGAAAAAAACAATATTTTTGACTTTTTGCTATTAAACATGTCCAGTAAAAAATAAAAAAAATCAAATTTCGACATAAATGTAGGCCAAAATGTATTCTGCTACAAGTCTTTCCTTAAAAAAAATCTGAATACCTGCAAATTAATTGATTTACGTGAAAGTTATAGAGTTTACAAATGGCGGTATATATACTAGAATTTTATGAATTTTTTTTTTTACTAGTAATGGCGGCAATCAGCGACTTATAGCAGGACTGTGATGGGCATTCTGACACTGGGGAGAACTGGCTTGGTGTCACTGACACCAATACAGTGATCAGTGCTAATAAAAAAGAGTCATCCCGCTCTCTATGGTTCATAACGGGACTGGAGCAGCAGCGAGTGCCTGGGGGAGAGGCAGATGAGAGCTCCCCATATATACCATAGGTAGCGGCGCCCTCCTGTGTTCACTGCCTGGGCTGTTAGAAACATATATACAGTTTACTACACTCGACATCCAGAAGGGGAGCCCTTATCCAGGCGATACCCCCACACCCTCCAGGAGTCCAGGATTGCTTGATGACGACTTTTCCATGAGGGACTCTGCACCCAACATGACTATGTCCTGATTGATGGATATTAAATGCGCATTTCCTATGCGCGGTCGGTGAGTGCGCATTTCTGCCAAACCCTCTGTCACAAGCCGTTTGAAATATTTACAGCTGTGGGATTACCTGATTGGTTTTGCACATCTATATATATTTATATCTCTGCACAAACATTTTTGAACAAACTTTTTTATGTTGATCCTTTTTAGCACTGCACTTTACTTTTATTTAATAAAAAGTACTGACTCTGTAAAAATGGCACTGGGCAGGAAGGGGTTAACATGTGGAGCGATCAAAGGGTTAACTGTGTGTTGTTTCGCTGTGTGTGTGCTTTACACTGTAAGCATGCTGCTTTGTATGGCTCTGCTATGCAGAGCCATACAAAGCAGTATGCAGGAGCTGACAGGGGAGAGATCTGTGTTGTTTATACACAGGTCTCTCTCCTGTTGGTAATACTCAGCAATCACCAGGTGCCTGCAAGGAATCACTGGCCGGGACCAGGTGATTGACAGCCGAGGCCTTGTGCCACCCTGTAGCAGTATTTCTGCTTTAGGACAGGGCAGTAGCTGTTAAACAACATGTTGTCCTCTTTATATGCCTTTTTTAAAGCAGAAAGAAGAAAATGCCAATATTTACTGCTATTGTCTGGATGGAAAGGCAGGGAAACGTATAGCATAGAGAGAAATCTCTTCAGAGAAAGAGCTCAATTCTTATTAGGCATGGTTCACACCTGAGCTTTTCTTGGTGCATTTGCTTTTTGCACAAATGCACTACAGTCCATTTAACATGGTTTCCTATGGCACACATTCACATCTGCTTTTTTTTCAGCTCCTGTATTTTTGCAAAGGGTCAGGGAGTTTTTTAAATGCAAAATGGTGTGTTTTGGGTTCAATAGACTTCAATTGAGACACTGCAGAAAAGCATATAGTGTGTTTTTTATGCATTTTTTAATGCATTTTGCATTTTTTAAATCCGCCCAACAACAAATCGTCAAAAAAAAGCATAAAAACCACATAATGCAAAATCCAGAAAAAAGTGCAAAAATCACTTAATAAATGTGTGTGCAAAAAATGCAAAATGCACCGCAAAAATCACTGCAGAAACAGATCAAAACCAAACTGCATTGGTGTAAACCAAGCCTTACGAAAGATACAAGAATTATGTGACTTCAAAACCAAACCCAAACCCAAATTACTGGTATATGACTGTAAATTGAAATGGTTGAAGAGTTGTGACATTGCTGGAATTATCACCTAGAGCAGGGGTGGGCAAACTTTTTGACTTGAGGGCCGCAATGGGTTCATATATTGGACCGGGGGCCGGACCAAGAGTAGATGAATGATGTGTATGTGTCATCCATAGTAAGTATAGTAATATTCCCCCATAGTAAGCATAGTAATTAATCCCCCATATAGTAATTCATCCCCCATAGTAATTCATCCCCCATAGTAATTCATCCCCCATAGTAATTCGTCCCCCATATAGTAATTCGACCCCCATAGTAATTCATCCCCCATATAGCAATTGATCCCCCATATAGCAATTGATCCCCCATAGTAATTCATCCCCCCCATAGTAATTCATCCCCCCATATAGTAATTCATCCCCCATATAGTAATTCATCCCCCATAGTAATTCATCCCCCATATAGTAATTCATCCCCCATATAGTAATTCATCCCCCATAGTAATTCATCTCCCATAGTAATTCATCCCCCATATAGTAATTCATCCCCCACATAGTAATTAATCCCCCATATAGTAATTCATCCCCTATAGTTATTCATCCCCCATATAGTAATTCACCCCCCATATAGTAATTCATCCCCCATATTAATTCATCCCCCATATAGTAATTCATCCCCATATAGTAATTAATCCCCCATAGTAATTCATCCCCCATAGTAATTCATCCCCCATATAGTAATTCATCCCCCATATAGTAATTCATCCCCCATAGTAATTCATCCCCCATAGTAATTCATCCCGCATATAGTAATTCATCCCCCATAGTAATTAATCCCCCATATAGTAATTCATCCCCCATATAGTAATTCATCCCCCATATAGTAATTCATCCCCCATATAGTAATTCATCCCCCATATAGTAATTCATCCCCACTATAGTAATTCATCCCCCCTATAGTAATTCATTCCCCATGTCCCCCCTGTGTCAATTCACTTACCTTTGCTCCGCGCGTTCCTCTTGTTCCCGCGCCGTTCGGTGTAGCATGAAAATCTGTCTCCTATGAGGATCTGTCCCCCTCGACGTATCTGCGCATGTGCCAGTTTCAGGCATTAGCAGCCGATTGGCGATCTCCGGCACATGCGCAGATACGTCGAGGGGGGACAGATCCTCATAGGAAACAGGGTGGACTGTGAGAGGAGCCTAGCGGGAGCCTAGCTCCGCGGGCCGGATTAAAAGGTCCGCCGGGCCGTATATGGCCCGTGGGCCGTAGTTTGCCCATTGCTGACCTAGAGACTTTACTCCCTGTTGTGTATTACATTCTTTGTGACAGAAATATACTTGGCATTAACTCCCCTGAAAGGTAAAAGAAATTAAGCTTGCAAGGTGCTGATTTTATGATAAATGAGGCAATTGATACTGCAAACATCCACAAGGTTTCCTAGATGCTACAAACACTCATGGATGAAACAAAATACATGAAATAGACAATATCCCCACAACTTCCATATAGTCACAGCTAAACGCTGACAAAATATAAAAAGTAAAAAAAAAAAAAAGATAAAAAAAAATTGATGTGGAAGATTGGGCAGAACAATGCTGCAAATTATCAAATGTGTCACAACTGCAAAACAAGTTATCACTGTATTAATGTGTCACTTTATAGATGTTCACGATATTTAATGCAGTATTCAATAGTTAAGGGTACTTATTATTATTATAATACAGGATTTATATAGCGCAAACAGTTTACGCAGCGCTTTACAACATATCAATTGAAATGGTTATTAGTGCTAATAATGCAGCAGCAAACAAAATAAAAAAAACAAGCAGATTTGTGATTGCTTTAAATACATGTTGTAGTCTACAGCCAGTCTTAGTTACTAGCCACAAGCCTTATGGATATGAAGAAAAGTCCCTAGGTGTAAAGGTACATACCGTATTTGCCGGCGTATAAGACGACTTTTTACCCCTTAAAAATCTTCTCAAAAGTCGGGGGTCGTCTTATACGCCGGTATACGGCATACTGACACTTTTTAGGGGGGCGGCGCGTTGCCGCCGCCGCCCCCCCCCCCCTTCCCCCAATGGAAGGGACACTAAGTACAGGGGTGGGCAGCGGCTGTTTCTTACCTGGTTCCGGTCCCACGACGATCCGGTCCAGGAAGCGCGGCTGCGCCTAGTTCGGCCACTGGAAGTTTCTTGCGGCTGCTCGGCTCCGCCTCCTCACCAGTGATTGGCCGCCAGAACTGTAGCTCAGGAAAGGCACACAGGCGGCCAATCACCGGCGAGGGGGTGGAGCCGAGCGGCCCCCACGAAAATCGAGTGCAGGACCAGCAGGTAAGTGGTCAGTGTAGAGGTGCTGCTGCAACCACATATGCTGGCTGCAGCAGCACCATACGAGAACAGGGTCAGCAAGTGTCAGTGGGAGGAATAGTGCCCCATCATTGGTGTCACTGATACCAATGATGGAGCACTATTCCTCCCACTGATACCAATGATGGGGCACTATTCCTCCCACTGACACCAACGATGGGGCACTATTCCTCCCACTGACACCAACAATGGGGCACTATTCCTCCCCCCCACTGACACCAACGATGGGGCACTATTCCTCCCCCCCCACTGACACCAACGATGGGGCACTATTCCTCCCCCCACTGACATCAACGATGGGGCACTATTCCCCCCCCCCCCACTGACACCAATGATGGGGCACTATTCCACCCCCCACTGACACCAATGATGGGACACCATTCCTCCCACTGACACCAATGTTGGGACACCATTCCTCCCACTGACACCAATGATGGGGCACTATTCCCCCCACTGATACCAATGATGGGGCACTATTCCCCCCACTGATACTAATGATGGGGCACTATTCCTGCCACTGATACCAATGATGGGGCACTATTCCCCCCACTGATACTAATGATGGGGCACTATTCCTGCCACTAATGCCAATGATGGGGCACTATTCCTGCCACTGATACCAATGATGGGGCACTATTCCTGCCACTGATACCAATGATGGGGCACTATTCCTGCCACTGATACCAATGATGGGGCACTATTCCTGCCACTGATACCAATGATGGGGCACTATTCCTGCCACTGGTGTGCATTGGAAGAGGGGTAGTCTTATACGGCGAGTATAGCTCAAACACTAAATTTTAGCAGGAAAAGTAGGGGGGTCGTCTTATACGCCCAGTCGTCTTATACGCCGGCAAATACGGTATCTAAAAAGATAATTAACAAAAGCTTAAGTTATGAATTGTAAACCCTTAGATAACACAAATGTTTTTCTGGAATTAAATCTATTATAATTAGCATTAAAATGCTAATATGATGCCATGAACTTTGGTATACTTTGGTATACAGTACTTTAGAACGCAAGCCAAAACTTTTTCTTAAGACTTTCAATAGAGTGAGGCAGGGTTAGACACTGGCTGCTTTATATAAGCAAAATAAGAATAGTAGTATAGCACTAAACGAGAGCAATCATATTTCATTAGAAAAGATAATAGACAAATGCAAGTGCACATCAGAAAAGTCAGTCGCTAAGCACCAAAAGTAACCAGTAAACCTCAAATAACCAAAATATAAAAGAAAAGTGCAGCGCTAAAATCAATATATAAAAATAGGTACATATAATGATACATAAACAGCGTTCATAAGGTGACTATAAGTGTTCGTGGAGATATTGTATTCCAAGGAGTTCTACGATTTCTTTTAACTCGGTTCTGGTGCGATTAAGTGTAGAAAAAATGCACACTCACTGGAACGCATAACATATTGCAAATAAATATATGTAAACTCCTGATGTCATCAGAGGTCATCCAAATAGGGGCAGAGTTGGGGTGGGGATCCCTCGCCAGGTGTACAGGTCCTGGGGTTCCTGATGTAGATCAAAAAGGTGCCAGAGTCCCCTTTTAGGGATGGGTGGGTGCAGCTCAACAGGTATACAGGAGGCTCCCTCTCTGGAAACTAGATGTTGGGTTGTTTGCAAATTAATACTCCCCAAGGGAGTCAAAATAGGAAAATACCCATGCTGTAGTATTGACTTGTTTAATTAGGTAAGATAAAATATCCAGGTAAAACATCAGACATCCAGGTATGTTAATGCAGGTAAAAACAGAGCAAATAGCTGTGTATAATATGTGCAAATGGGACTAACCATCCACAGTCAAAGATGGCCGCCGGAGCTCCACGTTGCTCCGGCGGCGTGACATCACGTCGTTATTGGCTCCTCCTTATGCGTTTCTGAGGGGAACACCAATTGACGTTCCCTTCAGACGACGT